GCTTTCTATCTAATTGAGTTAGAAGGAGATGCCAAAAGTTTCCTAAGATGATGAGAAAACATGCACGTTTGTTTACGTGCACACACATACATGCATATATACATAAACTCATATACATGTACATATGCCTTTATACATGTGTACATTGTGATTGAATACCTTGAGAAAGTTTAAAAATGTTGAGCATTTGCAAAGGACTTGCAAAGGACAATGTGACTTTCAAAATTTGACATATTTACAGTTCCTGGGCTTCTTGGAACCTATCTTCCTTCGAAATACTTCAGGGGCAGATTCCAAAATGAGAAATGATGATGGGAATCCAGAGAATGAGTCTCCCCACCCTTACTTGAGCAAACACACTTTAGATGCATATGTAATAACTGCCTTAAAATAACTTGTCTCTTCAAGAAAACAAACAAACCAATTCCCATCTTTGGGCCAAACTGAATAAATCTTTTTAATCTATACTTGGTTTTTCATCTAAAGTCATGAATGAGTAAAATAAAACTATTCAGATGAATGTTTAGCAAGTCAAGCTTATGCGAGGGTTAGGGTAATTTTTAGGATGAAATGATAGGATTATCAATGCATTTTATCACAGGTCACCAGCAAACTGAAGACTAACTATGGAATTGCTTTGTAATAAAGTGATTTACAAAGCAGTGCTTACATAACCAAGTGTGTCTGTAAGTTTATAAGGTTTCTAAGGTTTCTCTAAGTTAAAAAAAAAAAACCAGATTTTTGGAATATGTACCTTAATTTAACATAAGCAGAACTATACTCTGCAGCTTGGTCTTTGGTGAGTTACAGGAAAAGAAAACCTTATAGAGCTTTCCTAAAAACATCTAACATAGTGTCTTATGCATTGTAGGCATAGCCATTTAAATATGTCTGTTTTAAACAATTCAGGGTCCCTTTGTATGTAGGAATTAAGGATAAGAAAATATAGTATCAAATAATTAAACTGTAAAGAAGTATTCATGATAGAATATTTCCCACGGGTAACTAA